ATTAACGATATTTTATTTAATTTTATATTATTCTAGAGACTAATTGTAAAGTACACTATTATTTTAAGAGTTTTACTATTATATTCCTTAGTTCGTAGCAAGAAGACTAAAGATCTCGATGAATGCATTATATTCTGGCACGGACCCCTGAAAAAGGAATGTCCCTCGTTTATGCGCAGAATGAGGTCCATTCCTCTGAAAGAGGGAGATGTAGTGCGATGCACTTATCGAAATCATTAGTTAGCATTTTATTGTTATAAACTAACATTCTTTTACCGCCTTACGTAAGTAGGCTACTTCCAACTATTATTACTGAATAAGCAAATATACTTATGATGTGTAACAACGAATTATCGACATATAGAAATAAAGTTGATTGTGTACAACAACGACGTGCCTAATTTTCAACACCCCAATACAATCAGGCATTACACAGGGACGATTACGACTATCAAAGTAAACTGCCCTATAAATGGGAATAACTTAAAATTTCGAAAAAAATGCATCTCTTCGTTTAACACCCTGTAGTATAATGCTATGTGCAAAATATCGTATTTCCAAAATTAGACATAAGAATCAAAGAATCCGCTATTCAGAATTTTCAAAGATTTTCAAAATCGATTCAGTAATTTTCCAATAACGAGCTTTCAAATATTTTCCAAAAAACTAGGTGCGTCGTTTTTTATGACGAGCAGTTTAGTAACGATTGTTAACTATAAACATAAGATAAAGTAATGACAATGACTACTAAATTGTTATTTTCAACATAAACTTGGTTCAGCATTTGAACTTGGTTCAAACAAAATATGCCGTTTTTCAATCAAAGTTCAAGCTTGAATTTGGTTTAAACTAAATCAAAAGATGAACCGTCACTGTTGACCGTTTAAACGAAGTTCAACTTGACATAAATTAAGTTTTCTCTGCTTTATTATGTATTACGTTGTTTATTTCTTGATTTGTGATCTGCTGTTCGGCCATTCCAAGCCCATGGACAGGACACATCAGAAACATGTCTAAATATATTCTTGTTACTTCCTTAAGTTTACTTATTTTTTCTACGAGTATTTATGAGAAGTATTACCCAAATTTGGCTAATACTTCTCATAAATACTGGTAGAAAAAATAAGTAAACTTAAGGAAGTAACAAGAATATATTTAGACATGTTTCTGATGTGTCCTGTCCATGGGCTTGGAATGGCCGTGTTATAATAAACCAATGGATATGTTTGAGGTAGTTAGTGAGGATGATGAGGAAATTAGCGAATTCCTAAATAATATTTAACTTTGTGTGCACATGCCATGGGTAAGACCGAATCTTTTGCAAGGTGGAATAATGATGAATTTTTTGCCAGGTTTCGGTTTTCCAAACCTTTTGTACGTAGAATAGTGGATTTAATTAGACCAGTTATTGCAAATCCGACCAATAGGTTAGTTATAAAAATAATTACTGAATAGGTAATAGATTTTAGTAAAATTCATCACATGTTTATTGTTTGGTAATTGTTGCTAAATTGTTGCTCGAAGGACCATAAGACGATGCTTGTGTTTGTTTGATGTTGTTGTATTGTTGATTAAAACCACAATAGTGTATGGTTTTTAATTATATATTTATTTACACATAACTTAAACTAAAACTATTTAAACAAGTGAAATAAAAACTAGATCATTGGCAATCAATTTGGGTAGTTGATACTACCCATGTGTTTCAATGCTGCTTAATTGAGTGAATGTCACGATTGTCGTCCTACAGTTCGGTACTAGACATATGATTGGCTTGCCTCTAAAGTGGGAGTGGCAATATAAGCTTGCTTAAATTATACTTAAAACTATACATTTACGTTATAAAGAATTAAAAATTGAAACTTTGCATTAACATAAGCCGGCCACCTTGAAAGGTGTACCTTTCAAAATATGAAAGATTCAACTAAAGTATATCTAATATTAATTACTGGTAAACATGAACAAAGAGTACACAACACTAAATATGTCAAATTGTTGACGGTACACTAATTACTTATAAAATACTTATAAGTTATAATAGTATGTATGACAAAAAAACTAAAAATAGAAACTATTACTTAAATTATTCAGTTCATTCACTGTTATTGTCCTCTTCACTTTTGGGGAAAAGGTAGATTTTATTAATTGCACGTTTCACTATTGCACCGTTAGGTAACTTGAGAGACACTACGCGAACTAAATTATCTGAACCGGGATGAAGTTCGATAATCCTGCTCATTGACCATTTTTGCGGTGTCCTCCTTGATTAGGACAAGTTCACCGACATTGACATTGCCGGCCTTTTCAAACCTCCATTTTGTCCGTACCTGGAGATTCGACAGGTACTCCTTGGACCACCGTTGCCAAAACTGTTGTAGGCAATGTTGGGTCCTTTGATAACGATCCAGTCGATTTTCGTGAATGTTGGTGACGTCATGTTGAGGTAACGCCATCAAAGAGTCTCCGATGAGGAAATGACCGGGAGTAAGGGGAGCATAATTTTGAGGGTCATTGGACAAAGGGGTTAGAGGACGGGAGTTTAAAAATGCTTCTACCTGTACTATGACGGTATATAATTCTTCATAGGTCATTTTTGCATTTCCCAAAATTTTAAACAAAAAACCTTTTGCCGCTTTAACCGTAGCTTCCCAGAGACCTGCCATGTGTGGAGCCTGGGCAGGGTTAAAGTGCCATGAAATTCGATCGTCATGTAAAAATTTTATTATTTTACTCTGCGTGTCACTAGACGCTAGACATTTATATATTGCTTTGAGTTCGTTATTGGCACCAGTAAAGTTCGTGCCGTTATCTGAAAAGATGTCTGAGGGTTTTCCTCGCCTTGCAATAAATCGTTTAAGTGCATTCATAAATGCATCTGTTGACAAATCTTTGACAAGTTCCATATGAACTGCTTTTGTTACAAAGCACACAGAAATACACAAATATTCTTTTACAAATTTTGCCTTCCTTGTTGTCCCTAATTATAAATGGGCCAGCAAAATCTAGGATTTTAGAAAGGGCCTACTTATTGTTACGCGTTCAATGGGTAAATCACCCATCTTTTGATTTATTGACCGAGGCTTGTTTTTAAAACACGTAACACACTTTTGTATAACTCTTTTTACTGCTCTATTGCCGGACAGTGGCCAATATTGCAGCCTTACATTTGATAACGTTAATTGAAAACCGCTATGCAAATTTCTTTCATGAATATGTGAGATTAATAGTTCTGTAAGTTTGTGTTTGGTGGGAACGATTATAGGATGCTTTTAATTGTAATTAATTTCTGCGTTTCTCAGTCTACCCCCAACTCGCAATATACTGTCATTATCTAAAAACGGACTTAAATTTGATATTTGCGATGATGGTTTGATCGGTTGTTTTTTTGTTAACTGCGAAATCTCCTCAGTAAATTGTTCATTTTGACAAAGTCTAATTAATGCCTTTGTGGCGTTGTCTAGCTCATTTACTGATAGATTTTTCGTAAGTTTTGATTGTTTTTTACAATTGTTTATGAATCTTAATATATATGGGGTATTCCATACCAAATCGACCACTTTTGAACCCGACCCCTTTAGATTTTGCTGAAACTTTTCCATCCTTTTTTACCCTTTGAAAAACATTTTTGAAATTTTTTTCAAATTTTTTTGTCCAACCTCAAAAAAGTTATGAATTTTTTAAAAAAATGGCTTTTTTATTTTCAAATAGCCATAACTTTTTTAGAAATTGACTTTTGGGTACCTTTTTTTTAATTTTTGTTTTTGAATGAACTTTTCAAAAAAATACACGAAAAAATACACGAAAAAAATTTAACATGATCAATTATATAAAATAATCGTTTTTTTTAGTAAAATCGTCATTTTTTCGAAGTTCGCCATTTTTTTTTTGTTTTTTTTTTCTCAAAAAAAACTTCAATTAATTTGACAACTATCCCCGCTAATCCCGGAGTGGGCCGATTTTTTTTGTATTTTTTTTATTTATTTAAAAAAAATTGTCGAATTTTCAAAAATGGAAAAAAAATATTATACGTTAAAAACAATTGACAAAGTAAGCTTTTGTTAAACTAGTTAAACAAAGAAAATATTGTACCACTAGTGGAACAAAGAAAAAGAAGAAGAAGACAATAATTTTTAATATTATTGACCCAAAAAACATATAAAACAATGTAAGAAAAGTTAAACTTTAATAAATAGATACCCAATTGCATTTTTTCACTATTCAATCATAATTTTAGTGATTCGGGTGCATAATGTCTTTTTGGAATTAAATTTTAAAGGGAAATAATCCCAAAAAACAATGTTAAAAAACTTAACCTTAAAAACCAAAACACTTTTGACAGCTAATCATTCTTACAAAAGTAATCATTTTTATTTAATTTTTTATTTGATTGTGGGACAAAATCATATGTGCAACTCGTAAAGAATAGTCGATTATAAACTCGCATTCTTTCCTCGCTCGCTACGCTCGCGAGCCAAACGATTGCTCATTTATAATCGACTATTTTCTTTACTTGTTGCACAATATACTATTTCCGTAAATTTTATTTTTATCATAAAATAAATATAATTTAACTATTTTATGATATAATATTCTTAATTTATAGATTTAATTTACGAATATAATCACCAAGATTCAAATTTTAACCTATCGATAAACTAGGGTAGGACAATTATAGACTTACCTATAGTCAGTATACTAGAAACTATACGCTAGTGTGTATCGATTTATGAATACGGGTTTTTCATACTGTCTAAAACATAACCTGTAAATTGCTGTTAATCTTTTGTGCGATCAAGTGTCTAGCGAAAGCTTGTTGATATTACATTTGCTAAATATTATAGTTTATGAAGACTATTTTGATTTGGTGTTATTTGAAAAGCTAATTGTTTTATTCTATTAATCTAAATTGATTGGAAGAATTTTATGAAGACATTATGGCATCAATGAAGCAATTTGATCGATGTTGTAATCCATTTAAGTTGGAATCACATTCAAGAAAAATGGGTTTACGTCCAGCAACTGACATTATGAAAGTAACGTTAGGATTAGGTGGAAATTATTTGTTATGCAGTTCGTGTCGAAAAGAAGCTTCAAAATTAGTAAAGGAACAAACAAATACTAGTGATGATCCTAATGTTGATGCAAGTGATCATGAAGATGATTCTAGTGACAACAATGAGAACAATGATGGTGCTGACAGTGATAGTAACACAACTGCCACGGATCTCCCGTTATCCTAACCATTCCGTAAGTTTTTTAAAATTATTCATACATTACATTCCATACATACATATAGTAAATTTAAATCTAAAGGACGTACACGTCATCAATCAGCTGATCGGGCACGGTTGTCAATGTGATGCTAAAATCATTGCATCAAGGGAAAGTGGTAGTGCAACTTCAGGGCGATAGATGGCGTGTTTTATTAAATGTCAAAAGTTAGAGTTTTTATAACATATATGATGCACCGCCAAAAGTATGTTTTTAGCCATTTTAAAGACATTTTCAGCTATAAAACCCAGAAATTTTGCCATCTAAAGTCAGTCTCTATATATTCTTATTTTATGTATCTGGTGGCTCGTTCTAATTGTAAGACCTCAAGGAAAGCTAGACATAAACTCAGATTCTCAGATACACCCTATAAAATTAATAATAATTCTATTTACCTCTCTAACTGCTGTTAAGGGTAACAAAGGTTCATTATTATCCCGTTCTGCCTTAAAATAGCGTATTAAGGATGACACTAACTCTTGACTCCTACTATTTAAATGCTTAGGCATTTTAAATATAGAAAAAACAAAAAAAACGAAATTTAACAAACACAAAAACAGCAATGAACACTTAAACTATATAAAATAACACAAACAACAAACAAAATAAACGAAATTATACACGAAATACTCAAAAACACAACTGACAGCTTCGAAATTTTAAAACGTCAAATTCTTTTTTATCTGTCATTTAAATATGAAAAATTTGAATCCAAACATGACAACGTTGCAAGTGCTGCCAACTGAAGATGTTTAAAATGCATTTAAATATTCAATTACAGACTTCGATTTATACATTTAGTGTTGGTACCAGTGCTCAAAATTTTGGGTTAATCGATGACGTGTACGGTGTTTTGATTTGAATTTACTGCAGTAAATTCAAATCAAAACATGTGTTTTTTTAAGGTTCCTGGTCGTTTAATAGCGAACCCAAAAGTTCACAATCAAGCTCGGCATCCCAAGTTAGCGCTGCAACTCAATTACCCGTTATAAATGATGCATTGCGACTGTTGAATCAATCGCCGATTCCTTCAAAAAAATTGAATGATTATCAATTTTTAAATAATAAAATAAATCAGATATCTGACAGCTTAAAAAAAATGTTGCTCTCAGCTGCCGATGAAGGATCGATCGACGACGATGGTGAAAATTTTAGCTCCTTAATTAAAATGCTGCATGACAATATTTTTTGTATAGGGAGGACAATTACTCATCAAATGTTATTAAAAATTTTTACAACGATGATGAGTATAGTGCTTTGATGCCCGGTATGAAAGACTTTGTCTCAGTTCGAAATAATGATGGTAATCGAGTACACGTCCAAAAACGGCTTGTTCTGTCTAACTTAAAAGAACTATACCAATGTTTCCGTGAAATAAACCCAACAGAGAAAATTGGATTTTCTAAATTCGCTTCTTTACGACCGAAACATTGTGTGTTAGCAGGAGCAAGTGGAACACACACCATCTGTGTATGTACGATCCATCAAAACTTTAAGTTGATGATGCTTGGTAATTATCAATTTAATTAATAATTATAAGTGTGTGAATTTTCTGTATATTTAATAATTTTTCTTTTAGGTGCAAATCTTCATTCTTTAACAATAAATACAGGAAAGCCCAGAAACACTATAGTGATTGTTTGGACATGATAATTTGTGAGACTCCATCGGTGCAATGTTATTTGGGTGGATGTAACAACTGTCCAGGGGTAGATGAGTTGAGTAACATTCTACTAACATGTTTTGAGAATCAGGAGATCGAGAATATTACGTATAAGTATTGGATATCAAAACCGATAAGTAGTTTGGAAACTTTTATCAAGCCTACAGAAGAATTTGTTGAAAACTTTTGTAGTGAACTAAAAGTTCTTTTACCTCACTCATTTGTTGCTAAAGAACAAGCCAAATTTTTGAAAACATTGAAAGAAACACTGAAACCAAATGAATTTGTCATTATTTGTGATTTTGCAGAGAATTATGCGTTCGTAGTACAAAATGCAGCATCTGGTTTTCACTGGAATAATAACCAGGCAACAGTTTTTCCGGTGGTTATTTATTACAAAGTAAATGATGAACTTGAACACAAAAGTTTAGTAATTATTTCAGACTGTAATAATCACGATGCCGTTGCTGTTCATGTTTTCATCAAATTAATAACTGATTATGTAAAAAGTCTTCCTGAACGCTGTAAGAAGATTTATTATTTTTCTGATGGGGCTCCTCAACAGTCCAAAAACTTTAAAAAATTTGTAAATCTATATTATCATGAAGATGATTTTTATATTCCTGCTGAATGGCATTTTTCTGCGACTGCCCATGGCAAAGGTCCGTGTGATGGAATTGGTGGCATCATCAAACGACACGCAGCAAGAGCAAGTCTCCAACTTGCAGTTGATAAACAAATAACAACACCGATAGAATTTTTTGAATGGGCTTCTAATCCGAATAACTTACCAAATATCATAGTTAAGTTTTCTCCAGAAGAAGATTATAATACAGCATTAACTGATTTTAATGACAGATTTTTGAAAACGAAACCAATTGTAGGAACTCAACAAATACATTGCATAATTCCAGACAAAAATGGTTGTTTGTATGTTAAAAAATTTTCAAACTCTAATGAACACAGAATTTGTAAAATATTGAAACGCCAGAGAGAAAATTAATAAATAATGTTTTGTATTGTTTTTGTGAAATCATTGGATATTAACTGTATTAATTAATTAATTAAACTTAGTCATTATATTCGTAAATTAAGTCTATAAATTGAGAATATTATATCATAAAATCGTTAAATTATATTTATTTTATGATAGAAATAAAGTTTACGTAAATTTTTTTTCTTCCATTTTTGAAAATTTGACAATTTTTTTTAAATAAATAAAAAAAAATTTAAAAAAAATCGGCCCACTCCTGGATTAGCGGGAATAGTTGTCAAATTAATTGAAGTTTTTTTTGAGAAAAAAAACAAAAAAAAATGGCGAACTTCGAAAAAATGACGATTTTACTCAAAAAAAAAACGATTATTTTATATAATTGATCATGTTAAATTTTTTTCGTGTATTTTTTCGAAAAGTTCATTCAAAAACAAAAATTTAAAAAAAAAGGTACCCAAAAGTCAATTTCTAAAAAAGTTATGGCTATTTGAAAATAAAAAAGCCATTTTTGAAAAATTCATAACTTTTTTGAGGTTGGACAAAAAAATTTGAAAAAATTCTCAAAAATATTTTTGAAAGGGTAGAAAAGGATGGAAAAGTTTCAGCAAAAACTAAAGGGGGCGGGTTCAAAAGTGGTCGATTTGGTATGGAATACCCCATATGCTGTTACATTTCTTAATTTCGAAAATGTTGAATAATTATAATTAGTGATACATTATGTCAACAGAGTTGTTGTGGAATTGTATACAATTATAATTTGTAATGCAAGACGCAAGGTTGTCGTTTCAATAAAATAACTTACCAGAAAATAATTCTAAAAACTTTTCAACACCGTAATTATTAGGAAATCTGTATAGAGGATCTCTTAACGCTTCGGTAGTATGCACTTTTATTCTTTTGACCATAAATGTGATATTATCCCTTTTCCCATCCTGGTTGAAGTCTAAAAAAATATTTATCTATTAACCATTATACAAGTCTGGCCCATAGATTTTGTAACTAATTAAAATCCGCATATTTACTAAAAAAATAAAAACCAATTTGGCGGAATACGAGGGGTAAACCACTGATTTAAAAAAATTAAAAATCACCTACGAATTAACGCGTTGCTAAGAAAAATGTCTCATTGATAAGGATTTTTTCTTAATGATAACGACTGATAAGGAAAAAATCAGAACACAACGTCCACATAACGTTGAACGTTGGTCTTGCTGATTAGCGGTTTACCCCTCGGCGGAATACGCTCCCAAAATTTAGGCTTTCATAGTATATAATTTAAATTTCCTTTAAAAAATGTTAACAAATGTTTAACGTTCCTTAATAAGTAGGTTTGTATAATTGCATTAAAGCCAACAAGATTAGAGAAAAACATAGGTATAGGTACGTCATAGAGCGCAGACATCGAAATTGCCTGATGAGTCCTGTATTTAAAATTTTAAGGGTTTAGGGGTTTAATATATTATTCGATATATTATTCCACTGTCAGCATTTTGCTCGCGCAGCTAATTGATTACGTACATGTATTTCTCTAATAGTGTTGTAAGGGTCCTGTGGTACATAAACTTTTAAATTCAAATTTGGCGCTATTTTAACCAAGGAAAATTTAAAATAATCCACTAAAAATAATATTATAGTTTTAAGTTATTTTATGTTTTAAAATCATATTGAGTTTTAAAATTTCACTTCTTTGTATCTGAACGAAGAAATATTAGGGAGACTTGTTTATGTTACACATTCTTGCTTAAGTGGCATAGAGTTTAAAAGCTAGATTAGGAAATATAATACACACACAGAGGGTTTTTGCTCGCCCTTCGAGATACTCCTGTTAAACCGTTTGTGAAATATATTATAATATAGTTATAGTTTTTGTGATTGTTACCGATTTTCTGATATAATTAGGTATGTACACTTTTATAAATTGTAATATTTGCTAGTAATGATAAACCACTCCTGGTTTTGGGTTTTCTTAATACATTTTTGCTTATAATTTTGAACAATATTATTTAATTTGCATCTTGGTCTATGACGTTTATCATTGCTAGTTTATTGGGTCCTAATCATTTTAATATGTGTAAATAACGAGTGATTTTTGGTAATAATTTTTTATTTTATCACTATTTCATTATTTTGGTTTAATATCTTGGGATCGCGCATACACTGAGTTTCAATCTTTATGTTGTCGCGTTCTTCATATACACTGAATTACATTTACATTTGCCTTAAATTTTAACATTTTGTTTTGTCTTTATTTTGAGTTACACTGACCTTTGTATAAATAACGTTGTTTCGTTGTTTCCTTTTGTATAACTTTGTATAACTTTCTATTTAACTGAAATGTATTTTATTGTTTTTGAAACTCAGTGTATCATCTCGGTATTAAGGTATTTATTTATTTTAACTCTTTGCATTTGTACTCAGGCTAAAGCTTTTAACAACTATATTACTATTATAAAATTGGTATTATTTGGGTAAGGTTTATTGTTATTATTATTATTGCTTTTATTATTATTATTAAATTTGATATTACCATTAGGTCATATCATGGTAAGGTAATAGTATCGTTTAGCCTTTGATAGATTCTGGATAGAGACTTTGATTTAAACTGCTTATCTTAGCGCTTTATTTGGAATATTTGATAATGACTTTAACGTTACTATATATGATAAAAATCTCTTTATGTTATTATCCAGCGCGATACTTTCTGGTGGTTAGAGTTTTGGCCATGTTCAGGTGTTGCTTGTTATTACTCTCTCCTATTTATTATTTTATTGTATTTTATTTATATTTTATACCATTTTATTTTATTGCATATTGTTTATTTTATTTGTGTCTGTATTTGTACTTGTGTTTTCATTTGGAGAGTGCTCATACATGAATATTTGAACATGGGTAATATATTAGCATTATTTCAAAAGGATTTATCCTTAGAAGAAAAATAGTGTTTTTATGTTATTACCTATAGAAACTCTGTGTGCAGAATTGTTTGTATATTTTTGCAATACTTTTGTCTTGTTCTGGACATTGATTTTGTAAGAACATTTGAACATATTGTGATATAGCGACACTTTAGTGAGATAGGACCACCATAGCTGTCGTTATATCACTTCGCAGAGTATGCAATTTTTCCATAGTGTCACGCTATTAGTGTGGTTATTGGCTACGGTTAAATATCTGCACTTGGTTAAAGCATATGAATTCTCTCTATCAGAAATATGTCGTTGCTGTAGTTTATTTATATAAAATCGTATCCTTGTTCAATAGTTCGAAGATGCGTGGTAAGGTAAACAAATATTACAACACCGTCATAAAATGACGATCTCTATTATAACTATTTTACCTGAGTACAAAATGTTTCAAATATTGATAAAAACACCCAAATTATATGAAATATGTTTATCTGCTTTTTATGTTATTTTATTCACTTATTATTTATACTGTATTCTTGTGATTGTGACCCATATGACTATGTTTTGTTTAGTATTTTATTTTTATTTGAACTGTGTAAGTCGCCAGGGTTTTTATGGTCCCTTTTCCCTGTGCTTTGACTCAACGGGCCACCCCTTTGTCTTTGCTTAAATTAAATCAGGGGTTTAAAATTAAATACTTGTGTTTCATTAAACCTAACCAATTTCAAAATATCGTTATTATCAATGTAAGTAAATACACAACGTAGAGTCCTAATTTTTATAAAGTAAGTAAATTAACTAGACGATCACGAATATGCCAAAATAGGTATTTCAGTATACTTAAAGAATCGGGTTACGAAAATACATAGTGTACCTTACAGTGTTCACTCTAACAAGACCTATTTAGTGTCGGGCAAAATTGGAAGTATAGTTTTTTTACCAAATCCCTTTACTTCTAGTAGGTATTTAAAGTTATACCATGTAATTTAATCCATTAAACATTTTTAAATAGTAACTTTTAAACAAAAAATAAACAAATCACCTTATTTGTTTCTGAACAAAATAAACGCGTATTAAAAGAAAAATCAAAAAATTCAATATAAAAAACAGTTTTAATAAACTACCCTGCTGAAAAAAAATTATTTAAAACCAATTACGAATGAGGAGTTTTTAAACTCTGAATGGTTCTATGGGCGGAGTGTTACCATTTCGTTAATTAGAACCAATAAGTAAATTCTTGTTTATCAGGAAAAAACTGTTGGCCAGAATTTCTCATCTGAATCAATGATTTTAAATAAGAAAAATCCTTTTTTAAATTTTAAAGTTTTGAATAAAGAAAAAATCTTTAGCGGTCCTTCCGAATAAGGATTTTAGTGCTTATATGGTAATGATTTGCAATGACAAAAATACCCATAAGCAATTTTTGCTTTAAGTGAATAGTTTGTAATGGTTATATTTTTTAATAAGAAATAACGGGCAATTTGACTATTAAAATTATTATGTTTTGTAAATGGTTATGAATAGTGGAAGTGCTGATTTCACTTAAAGGTTAATTCATATTATTGACCAATCGACTTGAATTGGATAATTGTGAAGGCAAAATGGGTATTAAGGAAAAAGTATGTTACTTATTCGAATACGTTTCTGTAGATGTACAAGGGGTAGAAGTTAGAAATAATATCAATGCAAGCGCTAATAGTGTGTACCATTGGAAACTTTGAACTATCAGTAACTGTGGGTCAATGGGCATTGTTTAAAAGTAAACATAATTATAATTTCAAAAAAAATTTAATTGCACACCAAACATGGGAAACATTTGTGTTTTAGGTTGCTGTGTTAATGGGGATTTAAGTTTGTCTGTGGTTGTCTGTGGATTTAAGTAAAATAAACGATGCGGTGAATCAGAGCGGTAAAAAAGAGTCAAGTAAGTAATGATTAAACTTAAAACATATTTAAAAATTATTAACCTTCATCATATCGTCAACAGTATGTAGAAGTACGTGGTCATAAGTCGGCATTGTCAGATCAACTTTCTGGTGTCCCTCAGGGCTCTATAATGGGACCCATGTTATTTGCTATTTTCATTAATGAAATTGGTAATAAGTTAACAGTAAAACTTTTTTTATTATATGCTGATGATTTAAAGTTATTACAACCCATTTATTCTATTGAAGATTGTAGGATTCTACAAACCAATCTTGAATACTTAAACAACTGGCCCTCAAAATAAATTAAATTTAAATGTAAGCAAATGCAACACGATGTCATATACACGTAAAATAAATAAAATTATTTTTGACTACCAGCTAGGAGGTAACGTATTGCAAAAGATTGATAACTTTACAGATCTTGGTGTGACATTTGACACAGAGCTAAGTTTTATACACCATATAACTAATTTAAAGTTGTCTGCCTATAAAACTCTAGGGTTCATTACACGAAATTCTAAAGACTTTTCATGTCCTTTTATTTATACTACACAGTGTAGTCTACATTATATAATACACATGTAAAAGCTAAGCTGGAGTATGCTTCAATAATCTGGTCACCTATATACGATATACATATAAAAAGTTTCAGTTCAACGACGGTTTTTGAAAACACTGTTTTTTAGGTGTCATCAAGTTTATCCTACTCAGGTATATGAACATAAATTACTCCTTTTAGAATTTAAGTTTAATAGTCTGGCACAGCGGAGATTAAGCCCTCGTGTTTTGTTTCTGCACAGAATAATAAACTATGATGTTAAATGTGAGGAGTTAACTTACATGTTAAATTTTCATATTCCCCGATTGAGAACTAAACTTAAAACCACATTTTCCATCGCAACCCCACGAACAAATATTTTGATTCAATCACCACTTTATCAAATTATGTCTAGTTTGAAGATCACATAGATTTATTTTCATGTAATGCTAATTCTGTAAAGCGTTTTTTCTCAACCCACCTATTTTAATTTATTTTGTTATCCTTTTTTTTCCTACTCTTTTTGGTTTAGTTTGCATAATCTGGTTTTATTTTTTGTTCTTAGTTAAATGTGATGTGATTTAATTATGTGTATATATGTTATAAACGTTTATACGTTTTTTTAAATATATTCTGTAAATGGATCTAGGCCTGTAGAATATTAATGAAATAAATATGTATACCAAGCTTCATAAATTACATTAAATGCTCAGTAATTAAGTGTTTGATATAGAGTCATTCCAAATAAAAACACCAAATGGGGTGCGCTGCTTGATTTTTTATTTTGATTAAAAAAATTGAGGATGATCTTTTAGGCATCAAATATGAAAATCCGTTGCCGTTTTAATTTATGGATTCTTTACTTTTAATCGGCACCCTTTAGAAATCTGAACTTTTTTTCTGTGACAAATATTGAAATGATTTTAATTTTGATTTACTGTTCAGTAAGTGTGTTTTCGGTATAAATTATTATTATCCAATTAGTTAATCTCATAAAAGAATGGTAAACCACTCATTCATGATAATTTGCCAATTTTTGTGATTTTTGTCTGGCTCCTGTGCCTATTCTACTAAATCTAGAAAGTTATTTTTTTTCAGATATCAAGTACTTAAACAATAGAAAACGTAACTATTATTTTAAGTTTCTAGACCATCATTTTCTTTATTAAAAAAATTATTGAAACTTGATAATTCTTCAAATTAGTCAATTTTGCCCTCAGAAATCATTATATTAGGAACGCCTAAATGCAGGAATGGGCTCCATCTGAATATAAATTTTGCGTAAAATAAAACCAAATCAAACCAAACCCAACCAACCCAACCCCCCGTAACCGCCCTATTGAAGCCTAACCAGCCTATTGAAGACGATTATTCCATCGGTAACAAAGTTCGAGATAAAGGGCAATGCACGATGGAATAATCGTCTTCAATGGGGTGGTTAGGCTTCAATAGGGCGGTTACGGGGGGTTGGGTTGGTTGGGTTTGGTTTGATTTGGTTTGTTTTATTTTACGCAAAACTTATATTAAGATGGAGCCCATTCCTGCATTTAGGCGTTCCTATTATATTGAGGAAAAAATAAAAATCTGAAACTTTCAGGAAATATAGTCCCCACCTTCATCTTTTCATTCCAGTTAGTCTTGTTTTGTTATTTTTATTCCTTTAAAAGATATATTAATTTTTTTTTTTAATGCCCGTTTAGTAGCGATATTGTTATTTTATCGATGCGGCTCCCGGCCCGAGGCGGGACTTAACTTCGATCCCGACAGACGTCACACACTGTAAATCCGTTTTTATTCCCCGAGCTTTTATAATTGGTGTCAAGCTGGATGGCTTAGATGGTAGGGCGGTCGCTTGGACAGGGTTTTTTAATAAATTTTTCCCTGAATTAAAACCATAATAGTAAACCTCTAATTCGCCCTAGGCATTAAACACATAATTCACCCAAGGCATAATCAAAACTTTTCTAAAAGCGCCAAGCGCATACCAAAGATTGCAAACCAATAATCAGACTATATGTTGCGATTTATATCTTGTCTAACATCGACAGCCATTCGGGCTAAGGCCCTTTGGCACCCGAGCCCTTAAGGGCAACATAAAATTATATAATATACGGGAAGATATAACAAAATCTGTGATATTTAATGTTAGTAATGTATTCAAATAGGTATAATAAATAATTTGGAATTTGGAATTTTGGAATTTGGTCGCTTGGCATGCGAGAGGTACCGGGTTCGACTCTACTAGAAGTTGTCAAACTTTTTTTATTTTATAAATTTGTTGTTTCTTTGTTAAAAAGTGTTGGGTTGTGTTGGGTAGGGTTGGGTTGGTTGGTTTGTTTTAGTTTTATTGTAACATAACAAATCTTGACGTCAATCGGGACTGAACTTAAGTCCCGCCTCGGGACGGGAGCCACAGCGTAGTTTTATTTATAACTTAAAATTTAGATGGCTTTCATGTTTGGTAGAGAAGTGTCAGAACTGTCAAAAATATTTCATAAATATTATTTGTGCGTATTTCTTTGGTAAATTTTGTATATAACATAATATGTTATAATATGTTATATACAAAACGTTTTAAAATCACCAAAGGAAGACCACAAATAATAATTATGAAATATTTTTGACATTTGATATATTTGGTAGTTATGTTATATTTTATGTATTGTATAATCATATATACACGGTGTGCCTGAAACCAGTTTTTCGTCCAAAATTGAAATTTACTAAAAAGCCTAAATTAAACAACATTTTAAATATTCTCTAACCGTTATTTTATTTAATTTTATTAAAAATCTCTTTTTTTATAAAAGGTTAATAAGAATGCCACTTTATAACCTGATAAACGTAGAAATATCTAAAAAAAAATGGGCATAAATCTTTTTTGCGTGTTATGCCAAAATCAAAAATTTTTGCTTTATAATAAGCGATTATATCAAATGGTGTGAACAATATTAAAAAGTATTCTTTAAGTCTCCTCAATAATATACTCCTAATTTTATAAAAATCGGTGCACCGTGCACATGTGCAAATGTGCACTCTGTCAAAAATTTAAAAAAAATACTGAAAGAGGAGCAACTAGGATTTTGGTAAATATCATTTTTAAGTCACCAAAGGGTCCCGAACAAGAAACTGCAATCAGTTTTTGGCAGCATTTTTATGTGACTTAAACTTCGTTCAGGCAGACCGTGTATATATATATATATATGTGAGAATAAGAACAGTACATGTCCAAATGTTTGAATTTTGAGAAAACAAAATAAACTGTTTATTTTGTTTATTAGGATTTTTTCAGGTTTAAAAGTACAGACAAGCTGTGGTGTATGAGTTTAGACGTCTATTAAACTAAAAATATTTTTTTTACCACTTGCATGCTTTATTATACACAAAATATAAACTTGGACTTGTACTGTTCTTAATCTCAATAAAATTCTGACACAGAATTCTAATAATAATCTTTAAAATTTTGTTTTAGAATTGAAAACAATAAAATGTGGTAAAGCATTTTTATAGATAAAGAGCATTTTTTTTAACAAAAAGCATTTTTTTTAGCAAAAAGCACTTTTTTTTAACAAAAAGCATTTTTATTGATCAAAAAGCAATTTATTGAACAGAATAAACATTTTTATTGAACAAAAATATTAAATAATCAATTTTGTATACCGGCATCATCATCTGTATTAGTGTTTGACCAGGATGTTACATGGTGGTAAAACTCTAGATCTTCTCCCTTGATGTAATTCATTATATTTTTTTCATTGCATGGTGGTCCAGTTCTTTTTTCTTCGACAATTTTTTCAGATATAGACATATAAAACTCACCACGCTGACGTGCAAACTTTCTATTATTAATTTTTCATCGTTCTGAATTTTTTCTACGCCCTTTGTAATTTGTAAGCAGC